GAATCATAGGGAGGGGTTGATGAGAGAATTTTGATCCTTTTAGGAGGAGGAGGAGGAGGAGGAGGAGTAGGAGCTTCTTCTGAGTCTGTGTTTTACTTTTTATTTTTTGGTTTTGAAGAAGGCTCTTGCTGCTTTGAATTACTTTTCTTCAATTTGTATGCTGAAAAAGCAAATGATAAGGTGGTGGGTTTCTGCTCTGCAATTAACAGAGCTATTTGTAAGCACGGTAGTGCATTTGCTATTTGGGTTTTACATATTTAGCACAGCTTTGGCTGGTGATCTTTCACAGGCTATGAATGAATGGTTTTCCAAGCCTAATGTGCATGTTGTTGTTAAAGAGGAGGAGACCAGAGAGACGACATCTTCATCAACAACGAAAACGACGACCACCGTTGATGACTTGCCACCTATTGTGTTGGTTCATGGAATCTTTGGATTTGGCAAAGGGGTAATTTATTTTTTCTTGTCATGATATATTAAATAGATTTTTAGTTGCATTTTGTGCCTTGAAATAAATCTCTTTTTGGTCCACGGGGTTTTGATTTTCTATTTGGTTCCAGAGATTGGGAGGTTTATCGTATTTTGCTGGAGCAGAGAAGAAAGATGAGAGGGTCCTGGTGCCTGATTTGGGGTCTCTAACGAGCATCTATGATAGGTAAATGCTTGCAATTTAGGGGTTTTTCATTTTGGCAATACATTCTCATTGGTTTGTTCTTAATTCGAGTGCTTCTTCTTTCTGGGTTTCAGGGCACGCGAATTATTCTATTATTTGAAAGGTGGGCAAGTTGATTATGGAGAAGAACACAGCATGGCTTATGGCCACTCACAGTTTGGACGGATTTATGAACAGGGTTAGATGATCTCCCTTCAATTTTTTTTTTTAATATATTTTTTTTAAATTTAGTTTTGATTTTTGAACTATTTCTTTATGTTGTCTTTTCTATTCGATCATTATCTGTGTTTAAGTTTGAAATGTCTTTGATTGTTGTGATTTGAATGTAGGGCACTATCCTGAATGGGATGAGGATCACCCTATTCACTTTGTTGGGCATTCTGCTGGGGCGCAGGTTGTTCGCGTACTGCAGCAAATGCTTGCTGACAAGGTTAGTCTAGTTTATGTTTTGAACAGCTATTAAAGAATGCCTTAGAATTTCAAGTTTGATTGTATGTTTGTTCATGATGACTTTGTAGGCATTTAAGGGGTATGAGAACACTTCTGATAAATGGGTGCTAAGCATAACCTCCGTGTCCGGAGCATTCAATGGGACTACAAGGACCTACTTAGATGGGATGCAGTGAGTGTGCTTTCCAAACTTGGTCTTCTATTTGAAACTTCTCTCTAGAATTCTTAAAGGTTTCAATTACTTCAACGATATTGTCTTACTGACAATGTGCAGAAAATTAGCATGATTTGAAATTGCTAATGACATAAGTATGTAGCTGCTAGATTTTTGGACTTAATGATGCTTATATAAAATATTTTGTTTTAATTTTCTCACTAATGACTAAGCATATACTACCATAGATTTGGTAATCAGAAAATAATCAAACACTGGTATTCACCTCCTTCTTTAGAGATTTTTCCAAATGATGTGGTAGTTGAATTAATGAAACCCTTATTTCTGGTTCGATGTTTTCCTCTCCTCTTTTCCTTTTCATATCCTTTGTTTGTTTTTTCTCAAAGAAAAATTCTGCTTTGTATTTAATTGACACTCCCTTTTCATTATTAGTTGCTCTTGAATAGAACTCTATCAATTTGCATCTAAATTTGGGACTGCATTTTCAATATTCCAGGCCAGAAGATTGGAGAAACATGAAACCAATTTGCCTGCTTCAGTTCTGTCGCTTAGGAACAATAATTTATGATTGGCTTGACATTCCTTGGCTGAAGGCATACTACAACTTTGGATTCGATCACTTCAATATGTCCTGGAAAAAAGTGGGCATTTTTGGTCTTATTGACTGCCTGTTGGGGAATACAGGACCCTTTGCTTCTGGAGATTGGATACTTCCTGATCTTACAATTCAGGGGTCTATGCAACTCAACTGCCATTTACAAACCTTCCCTGATACGTACTATTTCAGCTATGCTACCAAACGCACTAAAAGAATCTTCGGTATCACTGTTCCTTCAGGCATTTTTGGAATTCACCCATTGCTTTTTATAAGAGTGTTGCAGATGAGCCAGTGGCGTCATCCTCCAGATGTCTTTCCCCCTTATAAAGGATACAGGTGCATTCTTCTATCAATATATCATTCGCAATTGATTTAATTAAGAATAGAATGCAAAAGCTTTCCTGTAACTACTTAATGTTTCATATCAGGATCATTTTAATGACTTTGACTTCACGTTTCATTTTCTCATATCATTAATGAAAAATATTTTTAATTAATCAATTTTTACTTAAATCATCAGTGAGCTTGAGAGAACTATTGCACATGTCTTTTGATTGTAGAATCCCAAATGAATTATCCTCTGTGATATGCTTAGTTTCCAGCAAGAATTCAGGAAATACAACATTGTACTGAATTTCAACAGCAATGAAACATCTGAGAAGCATAATCAAATTGCATGATTGCTTACACCTTGAGTGAATGTGTGCACAGGGATGAGGATTGGCAGGACAATGATGGAGCACTCAACACCATATCTATGACCCACCCCCGTATTCCAGTTGAACATCCAAGCCATTTTGTTGGGCATGATTCGGAGTGCCAACCCTTGCAGCCAGGAATATGGTTAGTTATAACACTTTCAATATCTCTGTCTTGGATGGATACGTAAATACTAACATAGTCACTCACATTCTTTTAGCATGACCCTCCATTATGTTCAATGATGCAAGGTGTTATCCTTGCTATATCTTGCGTAGTAAATCACAAAACAATAGCTACCTTTAATGAATACCCGAGTCAACTTGTTGGATATTATTCAATGTGTCAACCCTTGCAAACGAATGCCTGTTTAATTTTAACACTTCCAATGTCTGTCTTGGATAGTTGGATAGGCCATGTGCTAACCTCAGTTACGAACATAAATGTAATTTTTTAGAATAAAGCTCAGTCATGAAAAATAGGTAGTTTTTTTATATGGAGTATTTACATCATAAACATTTAACAATAGCTACAGAGTAGCGGCCATACAAATGCCTGTCATTCGAGTTTTTCATATAAGACATTCCAAATCCCTAGACATTCTATTTTAGCTCTAAAACTATATGAAATTTTGCCTTCTATTTTGCAGCATTTTTATGTTACCAACTAGTAGAAGACAGTACGTTGCCATGCCTTATATGATCTGCAAAAGTAAAAATTGCAAGGGTGTTTAGATGAAAATTGGCTGAAGGAGGCCATTAGAGTCACACGAAATGTGCATGGTTATCACAAATTTTTTTATTCAAGATCTCTGAAGGCATGAAACTTTAAGCCCGTTTATCTCCTTTGAGAGCCGTGTCTTCTTGCTCCTTGCATGTTTATAGAATGATTCCCCTAACTTCTGCAGCTTGCTTCAAGAAAGAAAAAGTAGATATTTTGTTAAGGTAGCTTACACATGCAGTTTATTTGGGGAACTTTTACAAGAGCATCTCAATATTTAGTGGACATGCGAAAACTGTTGAATTCAAGTTACAAGCTGAGTCAACTTTTAGTTGTTAAATTGAGATTCAGTAATCATTTTGCACTCCATCCTAAGCTAACATGGAGGTTTATCTGGTTTAATGCAGGTATTACAAGATTGTGGAAGGTGATCACATATTGTTCATTGTGAATAGGGATAGAGCAGGAATTCAATTCGATATGATATATGATAGTATTTTTGAGCGTTGCAGAAAATATGCCCGTAGGAAGAGTCGACAGACGTTACCAAACGAAATCCATCAATAGTTCAGAGTCTTATACTCAATATACAACTAGGAAAACAAAACCCATCAAAGGACACGATTCTTTGCCTCCCTCACTTGTCTCTGTAAATGTAATTTTTTTTGTAAGGAATTGCCATCTTCAGCAACGTTAAAACTTGTTTGAGGTCACAGCTTGAAAGACACTCCTTTGCTTTCCATTACACTCCTTTGTTTTCTGGTGATGACTTGTCAAATTTGTAGCCTTGCATAAATAATAGATGCACGTTGGCAACAGATTAATTTGTGCTTTTAGTCCTCGATGGGAAATTGATATTGATGGTCATTTATTTTTTTGTTTAAAGTCAATATTTTTAATTTAAAATCAATTTTTTGATATTTTTAATTTGTTTTAATGTTTCAATGTCAAAAATAATTTTTTTAATATATTTATATATATAAAAAAACACTTTAAAGGGTAACTTCTTACAATATCATGGCCTATATGATCAAATCCTGTTTTAAAAGGTTTATGTCTACTGTCTACGGATAACATGGACGGGGCTAGCAACAATCACGGATATGATGTTTGGTTGCATTTTATCCTCCGTCAAATGATAATATATGGAAGGAGAAGCCATGGATGGAAAGTTGGAAACAAGCAAAATTGCATGCATTCAAATGCACCTCACAATTTATATATAAAACACGGAAGGATAGAGAACAACACAAAAAACACAGAATCTAGACGCTCGGTCTAAAAAAGCAAACATAAACCAAAAAAAAAAAAAAAAACCGTAACTAAGACCAGTGATTTTCCTTCTTTGTAACACACTGAATATAATGGTGTTCGATACTGAATTGCTAGTCCTAAATATTAAACATGTATCATTTCTCATATTTGGATAAAGGGAAGTCACTAGATAGATCATACCTCTTACCCTCCTATAAAAAGAAACAGGGAGACGAGGAAAGGCGGATGCATATATGTAGGAGGGAGGAGATATACAGAAAACCTCTTATCTTCTCTAGCACTAATCTTTTTCCATTCATGACAGAATCGAGAAAAATATAAGAAAATAAAAACACTTCCATCTACAGTAGTTAAAAACTTAAAATCTTAAAACAGAAGCACTGACTGTATACAGCAGTAATTCAAGTTCCAGAGAGAAGAAACGATAAATGCAAATGAGTAGCTCAGATGGAGCACCCGATAACCAAAACAAGCCCACCGAGACAAGCCTCCCACCAGATTCCATAATCAATCTAGATCAGTAAGTTCACCTTCATTAATATTGATCCTGTTAAATCAACTAATTTGTTTTTCTTCCGAAAAATTATTAGCACTTGAGATTTTATTTATAGTTATAATCAAACCACCTTCTCTTTTCCTACGTTGTGCTGGTGCAATGGCCTGGCTCTGCTCTGGTTGCTAGCTGCTCATGTGGGGTTTCACAGTTTTGATCATATATATTATTTATGTGTGTGTGTGTTATAAATTTATTTTTGAACGGCTAGCTGACTAATAAGGTACTTGAAAGTGATGCATAAATATGGAACTATTGCAGCGGCGATCCAACGTTGTTCGAGCCATACTGGAAGAAGATGGGAGACAAGTGTACGTTGGTGATTGGAGGGTGTGATTTGATGAGTTATTTCAGTGATAGTAGCAGCATTTGCTGGTTTTTGCAGCCGCAACTTGGCGATGCCATAAAGGGACTGCATCGAGTTGTTGGAAATGCAGTCACCGAGGGTCGCCACATCGTGGTTGGGACCGGTTCAACACAGCTCTTAATGGCTGCTCTATATGCTCTCTCTACTCCTTCCGCTAGTCACCCCGTCAGTCTCGTGGCTGCTGCTCCTTATTACTCGGTAAGTAGCTGCCGCTCACAGTAGGATTTAGATACTGTTTTTTAATATGTTTTTGATTTTAAAATTTATTAAAATAATTTTATTTTTATTTTTAAAAATTTAATTTAAAAACGATAAAAAAATTTAAATTATTTTAAAACATAATTTAAAATAAAAAATATTTTTGAATTTCTTGAAAAGCATAGCCATGCTTCAATTAAAAACTAACGGGACCCGGGTTCAAGGGAAAGGGGTCATGACATCCCCAAATTCTGAAATATTTTACAACTTAGTACTAGACTTTTTAAGAGTTTTAATTATATCTTTCAGTTTAACATGTTTTACATCCCAAAAATTGCTTATCTTCTTAGTTACCCCTAATACTAGTTATATTTCTGGTTCACCCCTCCCTCCCTCGTCAAACTAATCTATATATTCTTTATTTATTTTGAATTGAACTCTTAGATTAATCAAAGTATATTTAGTATTATGGTAATTTTTATAGCTGTGGTTTCAAAAAAAATAGTTTAGAAAAAAAAACTTTTAATTGTGTTTGGTTTAATAAAATATATGTTTGGTTAAAACTATAATTGAAATTGATATTAAATAAAAAAAATAGTCTAAGAGTATTTGATTAAAAATGTGTTTGAAAGTGATTTTAAAAATAAAATGACTAATATTAATTTTATAGTTTTTGAGTTAAAATATTACAGATTAGATTATTAATACAGTCTCTGACTATCTGCTATGTTCGGGTAAAATTTTTCAACCAGGCTGATAACTAAAATGAAAAGGTTTTAAAGAACAAATTAGATAACTTGTGGGATTTAAAGGATAGTTTTAAATAGATAAAAGTGTTATTGCAGAGCGTGTGTGAAGAGGGGGGGCTATGATGGGAGGGGATAAATGGGTTTTAGTAGATTTTGCCCATCAATTGATGGATTCTTCAACAAAAATATAATTTTCGAACCAGAAGGAGAGATGAATGAGCGTTTCAAACATATTTGATGAGAAGAATTTTAAGAGATGTGTGTATTAGGGCAAATAGATCTATGATAGAAAAGAATAGTTATTTTGAAAGGTTTTTTGTGTAACGGTTATTTCTCTCTTACTGATAATATATGTTGTTGGTTGAGAGAAAAAAAAATTGAGGTTAGAATCTTTAAGAAGCTAGTGTAATGCTTCTTTTGAAACTGAATTTTTATCTCATTTTTGGATGGATACCATATTTTAAAAACACTGATTAACAATTTAATCAAATATAATTTTTTGTTGTTTTTTTAAAACTTAACTGTTGTTATGTAGTCAAACACCCTTTTAGTATATTAGATAATATTTAATACTAGCTTAATTATTTATTAATAGAACTCAATTATAATCTTGAACATTCCAGTCAATTTGTTTTGAAAAATTTTACGATATTATTATTTTAAAAAAATTCTTTGACAATAAATACTAGATTTGGACCAACAACATCAATAAAGTAGTGAAAAACTTCAAATATAATTAAACTTTTCTTGACCAAGTTATAGACATACTAATGATTGATATGCAAAATAAATTTTTAATTAAGATAAAAGATTATCTGACAAGTTAGTTAACAAATATAAAAGGAGTATGTATGTGAAAATTAAGAGAAATATGTGTGGAGAGAGGATCTATGTGGAGCAATAAAAGTAATATATAGTATCAAATATGCTTGAGTGAGTCTATCTAAGTTTATTTTTTTACTTAGTGACCTCAAGTATTCATAGATACCAAAGATTATATAGGCGTAATTGGTGAAGAAAAAAAAGTTATAAGAAATATCAAATTATTTAGAAAGGTAAGTCATTTGATTAATGTGTTTCATATAAATCAATATATTACTGCTTGAGAGTAAATCACTGAAGAAATGGTAGCTTGACAAGGAAAGTTGATGCAAAGTTAGGCTTAACAACAACAACTAGGCTTAAGAAAATACTTATTATTATTGCATTCCAGCACTTGGTCTCCACTGTCATGGGTTCGAGCCCTGGCATGTACGTCTATCACCCCCGCGGTGCTTTACATGCTTACTAGGTTTACAGGATATTCAGTAGGCCGTGGAGATTAGTCGTGGTACGCGCAAACTGGCCCGGACACCCCACGTAAATAAAAAAAAATACTTATTATCCAACCGGTTCCAAAAAAAGTTAAAATTAAAAGTGTCTTAACTCCTAAGAAGAGTGTAGTGCTCAATTTTGAGCTTGGGATGCCATAGTCCCTACAACACATGCTGCAGGACGGCTCTTAGGTGTAGAGAAATGCTTAGAGAAGGCTATTGATGAAGATGTTGGCATGAGATACTTTTTAGAGAGGTTTATTGGTAGAAAGAATGGCTTTGGTGCCCTACAACACATGCTGCAGGACGGCTCTTAGGTGTAGAGAAATGCTTAGAGAAGGCTATTGATGAAGATGTTGGCATGAGATACTTTTTAGAGAGGTTTATTGGTAGAAAGAATGGCTTGGCTGCAAGGTCTTTTTTTCTCTCTCTTTTTTTTCTTTCGTACCTTCTGTTGGGTTGAAGTTAAGGGTTGATTGGGCCAAGACTGGAGAGAATGAAACAGGAAAGAGACCGAGTGAGGGGGAAGACACAAAATAGCCAGCCCTAGCCCAACATGTTTCTTAAAGAGAAACTAATATTTGTAACATGAACATGTCTGGTCTGTGTCAAAGCCTGGGAGAACTTGTGCTTGGTGTTTGGAGCGTCGGAGAGCAGGAGCTATGACAATTGATTATTATAAAATAACAAATCAAAGTGCTGAGATAATCCGTCTCCCTGTTCTGCACTTCCTAACCTTTATAATTTACAACAGTACTAGCGGTACATGGAGCACACAATCTTGGATCGATGCTACCACATTTTCCATAAACCGTGCTGCAAAACCTCCTGCATTTGCTTGATGATATTAATATTATAATACTAATTAGTTCTCAAGTTAATTATATTATATGCAATTTTCTTTCAACACAGCTGCAGATGCTTCACTGCTTGCATGCATGCATATAATTCACATGCGTGTGTGTGTGTGTGTGTAAAATTAATCCTACAGGTTAAAGCTTCAATAATGTGATTGCTTCCATTGGTGTTGGCAAGTTTTCTTCATGTTAATGTTACTTAACTGAACAAAAAATTGCAGACAGGTTTCTCACCTCGTGGTGTGCCTATAGTGAAAAAAGGAAAGATGAATTCTCTCAGTCGATTATTAATCTTCGTACAAGATTAATTAATATATATGTGGTTGCGACATTTATTATCTGCAGGGATATAAGGATCAGGCAGAATTCCTGCGTTCAGGGCTCTATAAATGGGAAGGAGATGCACATACCTTTGATAAGGATGGACCTTATATTGAGGTCGTAACCTCGCCAAATAACCCTGATGGTACTATCCGAGAAGCTGTGGTGAACCTTGGGGAAGGGAAGCTTGTGTATGACCTGGCCTACTACTGGCCACAATACACGCCCATTACTCACCCTTCGGATCATGATATCATGTTGTTCACATTTTCCAAATGCACTGGACATGCTGGCTCCCGGATAGGGTGAGAAACACACATTCCACTCTAATCACGTCGTTGTTAAGAGAAGGTCGCAAGGCCATGATTTAATGTTGGTGAAAGTGATAAGAAAATCGCCATAATATACATGTCATTCTACTTAAAGTATGTTTACTTGGTAGTTCATCTTGTTCCTTTCTGCTAATTATTTTGTTTCCAAATTGAAGCTGGGCACTTGTCAAGGATAAAGAGGTAGCTAGAAAGATGACCGAATACATGCAGATCAGCTCCATTGGTGTATCCAAAGAATCCCAGCTTCGAGCTGCGAAAATTCTTGGAGTACTCACCGAAGGGTGTCAACACTTTAGTACTGCTGATTCAGAGAACTTCTTTGAGTATAGCCATAGAATTATGAGAGAAAGATGGGAGAGTCTGCAAAATGTTGTCAAAAACAGTAAAATCTTCAGTCTGCCAAAGTTCCCACAAGATCACTGCAACTTCACCGGGAAGTACACAGATTCAAATCCTGGTAATGCTCGTAATAAGATGATGATGATGATGATTATTATTATTATTAGTTTTGAAATAGGACAACCTAACTTTGTTGTATGCTCATCAGTTGAATGGATTTTTTAATATATTTTGCTTTTTTGCAAACAGCTTTTGCATGGTTGCACAGCAAGGAGGATATAGACTGGGAGAGTCTTTTGCGAGAACATAAGATAATAGGAAGAAGCGGGGAGCGGTTTGGGGCTGATCCAAAATATGTCAGAATCAGTATGTTTAGTCCACCAGAAGCGTTTAACCTTTTCTTGGAGAGGTTATCAGCAATCATCGACAACACCAATGGAAATGGAGTGGGAGGAGAAGAAAGATCGATCGTCAAATAAATGCTCTTAACCTACCTGTCTCGGAAAGCACTAAAGAATGGGAACCTAGCTAGGGATACTAGAGTAGTTTAAATTCATACATCCGATATGGTTACTGCAGAATTTAAATGCGATATAGACATATTTGCTACAGCTTTGGACTCTATTTTTGAACACAGTATAGGATGTATAAATTCTATAACCTGTTGCCATATATGCATAATCAAAATATTTCTTATCATAGAGGATCTCCATGTCGAAGAGTTAGGCTGTCATATGCTATAAATCATTACATTTAGAGAAAACATTTCTTCACAACGATTCCAAACCACATAAAATAAATTTAGGAAACAATTTATAATTGATATCGAATTAAATAAGTGTAAATCTTTAAATTTAGAAAAAAAATTGATCATATTTTTAACAATTTGACCGATGGAATTTTGTTGATATTTACACTAATAATTTATTTATAATTATTTTATTGGCAGAATTACAAGTAAAAAATGTTTGTTAATAATTTTTAATCTGTTAGTGAGTCTATCATTAATAAATTTACTAATAGCTTTATAAATAGAAAACGCATACTAAAATTTTTTTTAAGGTTTAATTTAAAAAGTGTTCTATTAATTTAAATTTAATGAATTTTAATTTATATTTGGATGTCATCAATAAAGTTTTAGTACTTTAAACAATTTTAAGTAAGAACAAAAAAATATTTTCCAAAAATAGATTTAACATCAAGGAGATTAATATGATAATTTATGTGTTATTATGAATATAGAAACATATAAATTGTACATGAATGTTTGGTATGAATAAATTGATTGACATGTTTATATATCATGTATGGTTAACAACATTGTAAATTCTTTATGTAATTATGGTAGAAATATTTTGAAAGTTATTATCCTTGTTGACTTATTATGTAATACTGTTGAGAAATAAGAAAGAGTCAAGGCATTAAAAATAAAATAAAAATGATTGTACGTATGAGAGTTTAAAGAGAATAAAAAATAATTAAACGATTGAGAAATCAATAATATTTAATGGCATAGCAACATGTGAATGCTTGCATGACTATTATTTTAAATTTATAAAAATGTTTATTAATACTTAATATTGTTAAATAATTTGTAATATATTACTACCTCACACATTCCATTAAAAGAGATTAATACGAATAATAAAAGCATGTGACATAAATTCTAGTTAAAAGGGCAATAACACGCGGAAGATCTTTGGAATGTGTTTGATCTTGTAATTCTCCTCACCTTCCAATCGCCTTGCAAGGTCTGGATGCAGGCTGCCCAAATGCAGCTCCTGAAGTGTGGAAATGTTCTGCAAGCCTTCAGGGAGAAAAATCAAGCTTGAACAACAACTAAAACTAAGAGATCTTAAACTTGGAAAAGCCCCAGTTGCAATTTCAGTCCACTCCACCAGGAACTCAGAAGCAATCGTGAGAGTTTCCAGAGCCGGGAAACCGCCTGCATTGCAAAATTCTTTACCAATGAGCTTTGCTCTGTAGGCTTCCCAGAGGCTGAGATGCTTCAATTTCGGAAGCAACTGAAGGACTGAGGTTGGATTCTCCGATAAATAAGAAAAGGATAAAGTTAGACGGGTGAGGTTTTCCATGGAGGCAAGCCACATGGGAATCTCAATTAAGCCCCCATGTAAATAGAACTCTTGAAGAAGAGGTGGAGGAGAAAATGCATCCAATTCAGGAAAAAGAGTAAAATTTGTTTCTTCAAAAAAGCATCTCTCTGCTTCTAACGAGAGGGACGCGAGGCTTTCCATCTTCTTTATTGCTGCAAACAACTCACTAGCATGATCGGCAGACACACGCTTAACGCCAAGATCTTTTATCTGAGTTAAGGCACTCAATTCTCTAGCAATCCCGTCTCCACCATAAATACCAGACAAAGTGTGGAGATTTACCAGTTTTCCAATTCCCTCCGGAACTCTAATTTCACAATCATCAAAGCTTTTGGACATTAGAAGGTGTCTCAACTGTTGGATATGCAGGACTTCTATTGGTAGTTTGCTCAGTTTCCCACACATTCTTATATCCAAAGTTTGCAGCTTTTGAAGATTACCTAAAGTCCGAGGAAGCTCATCTAGATCCGAGTTAGCCAAGCCCAAGTAACTCAGGTGAATCAAGTCTCCTACTTCATCAGGCAAGTACGCTATCTTGCCATCCAAATCCAACACCAACAGAAACCGCATCCCACAAACATTTCTCATATAGGCCCGCGAGAGGCATCCGGTAGAACCAATAGAATAATGACGGCGTTCGGCAGTGATTATAAATAAAGATCGAACCAGACGGCCTTCGACGTTAGGAAAGATATCCCTTCCATCATCTCTGATCTCCAAACGAACAGGTGAATTTGCAGTTTTAGAAACAAAATATTGTTTCTCCAATTTAAGAATAGATAACTGGAGATAAGAGGCAGGGACTTTTACTTCAGTCCCATCGTGTACTTCTTGAAGCATTCCTAGGTCAATCAATTCCTTGACAACATTTGCTGCTACATCCTCCATGCTATCCCCTGGCTTGTCTTGTATAAGACCTTCAGCCAACAAAAGCCGAACTAGTTTTCCTATCTCTACAGGATGTCTCTTGGTAACAAAGGACGAGTAGTCTAGGCAGGATTTAAGATAATCAGGAAGCTTTTCATAATTTGATTTGCAAGTTTCTGAAGAAGAACTCTCACCTGTGTTGTCAGCGACTCTTGATGAGCTTATTCCTACTGCTGTTGATGTACTTGGAACAACACCAGCTTGAGATTTACTTCCATGAAATTCCTCAGGAACCAAGTCAAGCTTACCTATCTCTTGAGTGCAATTGAAGTAAGGCATGGTTCGATATCAGCTCAACCAAGTCCTAATTTGCACCTGTGCATCTCAAAACAGAACTTGTATTATGAGATTATTTATTTTGTATTAAATTATCTGTCAACTAAAGTCAAAGTTTGAGACGGCAACGAACCCACCTTGCCGAGTTGCTTCCTGTGCTTGAGTGGGCTGGAGATGAAGAAATTAATGCTCGGCTAATCTAATACTCCCAACTTTCCAACCTATCCAATAGCCTTGATTTCAACATCTGTCAAGGGATGCTGCAGATTTTGGCTTGTTTATCTAGTTACCTACAATAATAGTAGAAAGTTTTGCGCACTCTTGACTATCTCCTAATGTTGAAAATTAGTTCTCCCCACCACAACCACCACCAGATAAGCTAAACACGTCATGGCCCGCCAAACAGTAATGCCATCAGGAGTTTGCTCGCCGCTCTATGCTCATTCCTCTCCGAGACTCCGACTCCGTCCCCACTCTTTGGTGGCCGACATGGAAATATCACACGACTATCATTTTTGAAGCTGAAATATTGACACCATCCACTAAGGAGGGTAAACTCTAAACTAAAGAGAGTTTGAGCAAGGTCGCCCATTTACACATCTCAAGGAATAAAATTCATTCTTCAGTCCACAGAGAAGGGCAATCAGATTAACTACGGGCCCAAAGAACCAAATTTCCCCTAGTTCCCCCTTGTCCCCAGCAACAAATTCGACTATACTGTAGGCTGAAAATATTGAAATCCAATAACTGATGCAAATTTGCACAGGAAAAAAAAAAAACTGTTTCAACTCTTCCAAAAACACTAAATAATACAATAACGATGCACATACAGAAAGTAACGGCCAAAAAGAATAAGGCGGTAAAGCTTAATCAGCCATTTGACTAGCACAACCATCTTCCCATGGCTCCCTGTTTTTCCACCAGTTTTGTCCTAAAAAATTCAACATTACAGATTGGTAACCTCAAAGATATTGGAAATGCATCTTGATAGAGCCCTTTTGATGGAGCTCCTCTAGATAAGCCTAAGCTCATACTCGCCAGCCATTGTTATGTATCTCACCCATGGGAGAGCCTGGTAACCACTTTTCTCAATAATCTTCAGGTATCGAACCTACAAAGCACCAAATTTTAATTAAACAAGATTACATTACCTGAGCTTGCTCAAACAATATTTTTAGAAATTTCAGTATGATTGTATAAAATGAACTTTTATCAGAATAATCTCTTATAGCAAGTTCCGATTAGACAGGAATTCACACTTGAGGTACCATAATTCATGGTTTATAGTCAACACTAGCCCTAATTTGAAATTCATAGCCCCTTTAACCTCATCCAAATTAAGACAAGGGAAACCAATTCTAGAATGAACTTCACGATAATTGATAATCCAAATCAGAGAGAGAGAGAGAGAGAGAGAGAGATAACTGATAATTCATGGTTTGTAGTCAACACTAGCTCTAATTTGGAAATCTTAACACGAGGAAAGCAATTCTGGAATGAACTTCATGATTATTGACAAGTCCAAATCACAGGGAGAGAGGTCATGCCACTCACCAAGCATAAATAGAACAGGTAATTGTGTTTGTGTAGAGGTCATGCCATTCACCACAGGATACCATAAAATAGAACAGGTATCATAAAATGTAACAGGTAATTGTGTTTGTGTAGAGGTCATGCCATTCACCACAGGATACCATAAAATAGAACAGGTATCATAAAATGTAACAGGTAATTGTGTTTGTGTAGAGGTCATGCCATTCACCACAGGATACCATAATCATAAAATATAACAAGTAGTTGTGTTTGTGCAGGTGTACCTGTATTCCTGAAACAGTAAAATATGGTATTTCAAATTTCACACGTATAGGAGCTTTTCTCTCAGGAGTTGCTTCTTCAGCAGTTATACTGGAAAGACTGAACTCTGCCCTCAACATGTACTCCTGAATAATATTTATATACATATAGAATAAAAACCAGGGAAGTATCATAATTACAGGAAAGAAAACATTTATAATTTACAATCCATAAAACAAACTACAAGCAAAAGTTAACAAACTACAAAATGATCCCATTTCTTTTTGGGAAAAATTAAAGTACCTTTCCACCAGAAAAAGATTTAATTTTCCACATTAATGCATCATTTTCAGGTGCATATGATGCAGACCCCATTGAAGTCCGGATATTAGGATTGGAAGCATCAACTGGCACAGGCAACTCAATCTCAACATTTGTTGCAGTACTGTACAGTTAAACTTTTATAAATACTCAGAAAACACAAACATCAGCCAGCCCAAAACTCTGAGCAATTGATCAAATGGAAACATAGCTACACTATTAATGTTAAAAACTTCATACCTACGTTCCTTGAACTGGCTCTTAGCCTTTACCATTATCTCAACACGACTTCTTGAATGCTTTTCAACTTGAGCTTCCACCCAAATCAGAGGCTTTACCTGAAAGAAGACACCAAGGAACTCATCAAATGCTAATAAAAGTACTAAGGTTGTCCTCCTGTTTTTAAGAAAAGCTTTCAGAAACTACAGAACAAACCTGAGTGCTGAGTCTATATGTCATGAGATCAAAAGCCCCATCAGGTGGTATAAATGATATTGTCCGATCATTTTCAAATCGGGCCAAACGTACACACCTGAACCAAATTGCATATTTAGTTTTAAATGTCTAGATTGCCATGAGCAACCTTCACTCATAATAAATTGGCATTTACATCCACCTCCAAAAAACTGTACAAACCAACACGAATTCAAGTAGACCTGAGAATTAAGCTACGTACTGATGAAATTTGATGTCCTCCAAATCAATGGCCTTTCCTTTTGTTGTCCGTCCTTGGGCCTCCAATAATATTCTATCATTTAGGCCAAGCTTACACTCAGGCATGCCACTGCAACATAACAACAGAAACTTGCAATTAAACATAAAGTTCTTTGCACATCATGCAACACATTGAACGTACATATTAATACTTATATAGAATGGTGCGGTCACCTATGTAATATTGCTAAAGGTGGGACTAACTCCAATGTTCCTTTTCTAAGACAGTAAGACCCAATCGACTTTGGTGCCATCATAATGAATACTGGCTCTGTTTTCAGAAAAGTGAGCATTCCCCTCATGTCAACTGATGCAAGCTAGTCGTTGCATTATGTAACTTAATTCAAAAAACAAGATGAAGAACTTGTGTAGCTATGTGTCGCAAAGAACTAAATTGAAATCTACATTTGAAACTAAATGTGTAGTTGCAACATTTCTCTACCACATTAATCAACAATAGTTTCTGGCATATTAAACTATGAGTTCCACAGCACATCAACTTACAGAAGTTGCGTAGCACATCACAAGATTACCATCACTAATGAGGGGGACCAAGCTTACAGAATAGTACCAGCAAGTAGCTGCTTTATAAACTAATATATATACCAAACCAACATCTGAATATCCTAAAAGTAATCTTCAGAAGGCAATATGCAAGTACACTACCTTAAAGAATGATAAGCTCACCCATAAATGAACCAAGAAAAACTACTAGCAATGACTTTTTTTTTTTTTTTATTGTACCTTAGATATGTTCTCATTTTTAAAGCCCCAACAACATCGGACCTAATGACTTGCCCATTGGTGTTGACAAGTATATTGACACTCTCAACCACATCCAAGAAAACCTGAACAAATAATAACAAAGCTTCGTTATCATCCAGTTATTAATTATTTATTAAAGAAAAAAACAACAAGAAGCTCTGAAAAAAGAAAAAAAAAAGAAAATACCTCGTTTTTCTTGTAATTTATCCCTTCGCTGCGCCAAGACACTGCATTAGTGACAGCCATGGGAGGCCTCTGTGAAGTTTCCATCCTGTAGGCATCCGTCTTGATAAATTCGCTAAGAATTTTTGCTTCAGTGTACTGAGGGTAACCGAAGTCCATCATTTCATCAAGTAACTCATACTGACAAATGCACAGCAAGGTCATTACCTCAATAATAATAATAATAAAAATAGCAAATGAGAAAATAAAATTCATTTAAAGAACTTACCACTACCACAAAGTTATCCCTTAGTGATTCTTCTTCTAATTCTTCAAAATAATGCTTAAAAACCTAGAGGTCAAAAGAAAATCAAGATAGAAATTATAATTTAGTAAATAAGAAACGGCATGGAAAGGATAATAATAAATAAATGACGGAATTACATCAACAACGCGGTGGAGGAAGGAGATGAGACTGGCAGCATTACAATTCTGCCTTGATGCGGCCATTAGATAAACATTGCTGTGTTGTATGAACATGTAAGAGACTCCATTATCATAAACCACTGGATCTTGAGATTGCGGATCTCCCTGCACTCAACCGTAACCATAACCAGATCGATACACTTATTCAATTAATTGATTGATTATAACTAAAAATTCAATCCAATTAGGTTTAGATAAAGGAGAAACGAAGCAGAAGAAGGGAAAGGAAAGAAACCTCCTTCTCGATGAACTTGGTGAAGAAGCGCTCGGCCTGGACAGCAGAGACATCGCCACGGTAGTCGCGCCACACCAGAACGCGCCCCTTTATATCTAATAGAAACAGCGCGGACGCTGCCCCAGCCATTACTAGATCAGATCAGATCAGATGAGAACCGATGAGAACCGATGGTGATGCTGCTTAATTAATTGGAAACTGATGATGATGATGGTCGATGGACGATGACACCGGAATTGCAGCAAAATTTAATTTAATTTCACTTAAATAACTTGAATCACCGCCATCTCCTTCTTCCCTGTTTTTTAAATTTAATTTATTATTTCTGATTAGCGAGGATTCTCGACAGCTGACTGAATGTGTTTTCGTTTTTATATTTGAACCTAGAAAATTCAGCAAAATCAAGAAACGATTTCTATGTGAAATTACACAACTAATCCCTTAAGTAATATAACGTAAATTATTCTGCCCAAACACCCACATTAATCTATAAAAAAATATAACATAAATTATTTTAGAAACATATTAAATCAAAGTTATTTTTATGTCTAAAATTATAATTTTTTTTAGATTACATTTTAATATTTAGTTTATTTATAATTAATTATAATTAATTCACACTTTATAAACATTTTATTTTAATTTCTAACCAATAATTTTTAACAATTAATTAATTTATATTTGAAAATTAAATATAATATCTAATAACTTGTTATAATTTTTTAAATATTATAAAATTTATAAATGTTTTGACTTAATATTTTAATGAAAATTTTCTAAGTGTAATTATTAACCTCTTATAAAAAAATATTATAATTTAGATATTATAGTATGAAATATGTCTGATTTATTAAATTATTTTTGTTCTTAACGCTATAGTTAGTTATTGATTTTTTTAGTAAGATTTGAAACTATTTTCAAATCTCATTTTATTTTGATCAAGAATTTCACAATCAATACTATTTAAGAACAGATAAAATATTTTTTTAATTCATCTAAAGTGATAAATACTCTCTAAATTATTCAAATACCTTAATATAATTTATATTATATTTAATATTTGCTATTTTATTATCTTTGATTAAAACAATATGTGATCATGATTAAAATATAATATTTTTTTATATAAAATAATTTAATAATATTAAGTTTAAGGATCATTTAACACAATTATCACGTTAATCTTTCTATAGACATATATGATTTCTCTATATAAAATTATTTTACGGGTCAATTTAGTGTGTATGCATATTATTTCATGTAATAAAAATCTTATAATTATAATAAATTTATAATTTTTCATGCAAATTTTTTTTCATGGATTTTATTTTTACTCTAGACTCATTTATCAAATATTAAATTCATTAATCGAATATAAATTAATATTAAAGATAATTTTTTTTACTAATAATAAATATATTTTAAATAAATAAAATCAATATTACTTATACTCAAATGATTGATTATATTCACCAACACTTCATTCTTTATTCTAGTATTGAGTTGTGCAAGTTCTAAGCTTAGATTAAAAGAATTATATCTTGGATTTTATTTAATAATTTAACTTAAAATGGGTTCTTTTTTATTTCATGATTATAGTAATACATAGGTAATTTACATATGTTCGTGTTTTTATTGATAACCAAGACAACTTCTGAGTATGGAAGTTACAACATTTTCAAAGAACATGTAATGCAACAAACTTTGAACATAACAAATCTCAACGTAGGATTGTTTTTCAAAACCAAATACAAGCGCCTAGAGGCAATTGCAGATGGCAATAGCGATCAAGAACAAGACAGACAACCCATGTAACACACTCGACACTTAAGGGACATAATGGATATAGTAAATAAAAATATTGTATAACTTCACTCATTCATTAAGTTATAAATTATAAATTTTAAAATCAATAGTCTTAATAATTATTATTCTCAAGCTCTTAAAGGATTAGTTGATCTATATAAACTGATCCGACAGCCACAGTTATAATTAATAATAATAATAAAAAAAAATATTAAAGTTCTTAGTCTAGTAATGGAAGAGACTTGTTTTTTTCTATTGCTTCTGGATTTAAGTCTTTATGTGCATATCTGTTATCCTCGTGATGCTTTACATGTCTACTGGGTTTACAAGGTATTCAATGGATCGTGGGATTAGTCATGATGTGTGTAAGTTAGCCCAGACATCTACATTAAAAAAAAAGGAAAAATGTTGTGGTTGTACGGAAGAGTGCAATTCTCTCCAACATTTTAGATGCAGTAGGGAGCCTTTTGCGGATAAAGTGTGAAATGAAGAGAGTAGCGAAACCAACTAGAGTAGCCAAGGATATCAAATTGATGGAATGATGAAATTCAGATTCGGCAACAACTTTGTACTGAATTGTACTATGAAGTGCTCTCATGAAGCACAAATTGAAGAGTACCTTCAGTGATTCCATTTCCAAGTCCTGCTCCAGGCGGATCATATTGTTTAGTTGTGGCTGATCAATGGTGCGATAGGGTACTTGCAGCATTTCTGGTGGTGATTGTGGAGAAGGTGGAGGTTGTCTTTATGGTGATTCCGATTCAGGGGCGGTATCAGAAGAAGAAGGTTGTGGTTGTGTTCGCAGCGATTGCGGTTCCATGCCACTATTTGGAGAACGAGATGATTTTGATGGCAGCTGAGATGTTGTTGGGTGCCGGAGTTGCGACATTGTTGCTGTAGTCCAAAGGGAAAAACATATTGACGATGGATGGTGCTGAAATTGCCATAGAAGTCCTTTGTTACAATAATAAGAATTAAATTTTAAAAATTAAAAAAATTATAGAAGATAAAATTGAAAATATATGTAAAAATCAAGTAAATTTAGATAAAGAACCTAAATATAGTAAAATCTTTAAAAGCTTGCAACCTATAACACCCTTAATAAATCGGTATCAAGATGTTTATCATAAATCAATTTAAAAATATAATTTTTTTTTAAATAAAAACAAAACAAAAATATAACAAAAAAGTCTTGAGTAAACCCAACAATTAACCTGAGTTAATAAATTAAACATATGATCTAAAACATGAAATTAGGATGACCCTATTAAGTGAAAAAAAATACTAGAAAAAATATTCAAAGAAAAATACTTTAAAAAATATAAAAATCACATCGGGTTAATCTATTGGATCTATGACCCAGGTTATAAGATCTAGGTGACTCTATTAAAGACAAACCCAAAAAAATAAAGAAGCAAGAATCTTAATCAAAAAAATATTTAGCAATGAAATTGAAAAAAAAAACAATGTGAAAAAAAAGTAATTAAAAGAATTAGAACTAAATTCAACATAAAAATTAAATGAAACTAAATGTTTAGGGATAGAATTGTAAAAACAAATCCATTAAAAAATGATTAAAAAATAATAATTAAAAAAATTATAACTAAATTTGACATAAAAATTAAATAAAAATAAATATCAAGTGGTGAAATTGAATAAAAAATCAATCAAGAAAATAATTCAAAAATCCAGTGGTGGAATTGAATAAAAAATCAATCAAGAAACAAGACAAATAGCAATTAAAAAAACAAGGATTAAATTTAAAAAAAATTAAAAATCAAATGACCAATAATGAAATCAAAAATAAAATCTAAATAGACATAATCATTGTAAATAAAGCAATTGCAAATAAGAGAAGAGGGAATGAATAAAAAACAAAATTGAAGGCAATTCAAGAAAGAAAGAAAATAAAAAAAAATAAAAAAGAAAATCAATTTTGGATCAAACTACACCAAACCACCATACACACTACCCAGAAAAAAAAATGTCAAGATAAATCAAATAAAGCAGCGCTAGAAAAAAAAAAGAATGTCAAGATAAATCAAATAAAGCAGCGAAATCACAGTTACAACTATTGAAAAGAATCACACGCGCCATAAAAAATGGTGAAGCTCCTGATGCATGGTTAACAACTTTTTTGTCTTTTTTATTAGTAAAAAACCAAAAATACCATATAGTAGTTCTAGTAGCTCTAATATCGATTCAAGATCGCTAAAACAATCAGTTATGCGTGTTTGATATTGTGATGTAATATGTTTTGTAAAAGTGTTTTCAATTAAAAATATATTAAAATAATTATTTTTTTAGATTTTTAAATTTTTTGACACCACCACTTCAAAATCATTAAAAAAAATATAAAAAATTATTAATTTAATATTTTTCAAACAAACACACTTTTAAAAAATATCAAAAAAACAAAAACTACTGCTTAAATAGGTAAAAAAGTTAGTGGCTAGCACAATTACGATACAAAATTAAATTAACGCCACATATACTAATTACATATGTTTTTTTTATCTTTTTAAATGTATTTTTATTTAAAAATATATCAAAATATTTTTTTTTAAATTTATTTCTATATCATGATATCAAAATTATCAAAAAAACACTAAAAACTCAACAATTTAATATCTTTTCAAGACAAATACCCTTTTATAAAACATCAAAAAAACAAAAACTACTCCACCCTAAATGGGTTAAAAAGTTAGTGACTAGCACCATTGTGATACAAAATTAAATTAACACAGCAAATCCTAATTACACATGTTTTTGGGTCTTTTTAAGCTCTTAAAATTAAATGAAAGACGTTCCAAAAACACACCATAGACTTGAAAATTACAATTTGTTCATCTTCCATTAAAAACCCCACTAAATATGCTGCTCCCTCCCACCGAAGCCTCCCACTCTACTGAGGACACTACGATCATGGATAATTTTTGAACTACTTCTCGCATCTGTGGTCTATTAATTGCTTCCTCGCTCAAACACCAGTCAGCAATTTCTGCCATCTGCAGCCAAATAGAAGGAAAAATCATGGTTATATATATTATTATCAACTTTTTTATTAATTTATCATATATTAAGGTATATACATGGAAAATGATTTATTAACATCATGATGTTATGCTGTTGAATTTGGTAGGAAACATTCATATTCAATTTCATTAAAAAAAAAAATACATAATAGGACCATGCTGTTATTTGTTGAAACTATACTATGAGTTATCAGTTTTGTACTGTTAATTGACAACTGCATTTTTTAGTCCTGATGTGTGCATATACATCATGAGATTCAGTGTAAAACATTCGCACCTAAATTTACAAAAATACATTAGGTCAACCAGGTTAATCTACATTAGGTTTTATCTCGAACTATTTTGGATATTAACTTAATCAAACTCCTCTAGTGATTTAATATATTAACCTATATTAGTTAAATTTAGGTGTGATTTGTCAATTTAAAAAAAAAATAAAAAAACTAAAACAATACTGGCTTGGATAAAATAATTAACTTGAAGTGACTCGTTTGCTAGGTGTATCTCGGATTGGGTCTGCAGTCTAAATACTGGTTTGGATAAGATAATTAACTTGGATTGACTCGATTGCTATGTGTATCTCGGATTGGGTCTGCAGTCTAAGCCATTCAGTGATTTTTCACTGTCGTTATCTACTAATGCGTTCTATGTATAAGCTTAACGTAGAAATCCACAAGACAGATGCAGTAATAAGTTCCAGCTATATTTAAATATATGACCTTGTAGACATCCTCCATGGGGTAGCTGTTGCGAAGATTTTTGTCTATGACATCTGCTAAAGCAGTCTCTGGATCTTTATCTTCAAAAATTTTGTAGACCTGACAGCATGTATCAGGTTAGTATTGACCATAGTTGCTTATATATGATATATGCAAGTGTTATATGAAGAATAATTGAGTAATTATGTGTAAAGCTTACAACTGTGATGAGTGATTTCATCTTGGTACTCTCTCGATTGTCACGCAAAAGGGCACGTTGTCCTGTTATCAGCTCAGCTAAAACTACTCCAAATGCAAATACATCAGTTTTGGAAGTCACCTGCAGCTCCTTCACAGATCTTTCCAAGCAGCACGTAAAATCAGAAAGACAGATCAATTTTCTCCTTTCTCAAACTATGATGACACCACACACACAATTCAATCAGGATATAACAGACTTACTCTGGTGGAAGATAGCCTGGTGTTCCTACCAGTCGTGTTGCTATTAAATCTTCATCACTCGTTCGTTCAACAAGCTTTGCCAATCCAAAATCCGCAACCTATAGAGCCTGATGATGATTAGCTATTTGTGTTTTCCATTTTAGAAGGTCTTGTCTGATAAAACGATGGAAGCTCGCTCTAACATAGAGGAAAACTCATTTCATTTGGTCAAAGACAGTTGTGTATCATTAGAGAATGAAGTATATTGATGATGACAGCATAAAAAACTGCTAGTAAAACATGTTTCAAGTACCTTTGCTCGTAGTCCCTCATCGAGTAGAATGTTACTTGTCTTTATATCTCTGTGCACATAGCGTGCTTTGGTGTGGTCATGGATGTATTCAATTCCCTTTGCAGCATCAAGTGCAATCTGTGCTCTTGCTGTCCAAGAGAGTGGCTGGTGACCTGATTCAAGACCCCATTTTTCAGCTGCTAGCTAGCTTTTTTGTCTGTTAAATGCCTAGATGTAAAGCTTTTGCAAACCAAATGCTCAACAAATTTGTAAAATATTGTCTGTTATGAACTACATACAGAGAGGTATCATAGGCTTACCCTATAATACATTTAGCAGCAGAAAAGTCATCTTACTAAACTAGGAGGCATATGTTGTACCGCTAATTTGATTACCTTTTAGCAATGGATCGTGAAGGTGATCACTAAGTGACCCATTTCGAACGTACTCATAAATCAAGTAGAAGTGATCATCTCCACCGGCATAACCCAGAAGTTCCACCTGTTACATGATTTATACTTGGTAAATAGAGGCAAATGTTTCTTTGCGAAATTGCATTGAGATTGACGAGGATGGTTAATGGTCACTCACCACATTTATGTGATGGATCTTACATAAGACCTTGAGCTCTGCAAAAAACTCATGGGATTTGTTTGATCTCATCTTCTTTACCGCAACCTCCTGAATATTGCAAGGAAAAATCGTATTTTCACACTTTTGTTTTTTTTTTTTTTTACCTTGGAGACCTCTTACGAGCATGGGTTCGGGAGAAATCAAGAAAGAAGGCTATACCTGTCCTCGCAATAATCCATGGTACACACATCCATATCCACCCTCTCCGATTTTCTTCGTTTTGTCAAAGCTTTTTGTAGCCTCTTCAATCTCTTCTAGACTAAATACGACTGGTTTTTCTGATTCAAAAGCTGTCCCATCTGCAGAATGCAAATTCATTGCTTACTGCAGGCTCTTTCGTCTCAGCTGAATTTAATGCTACCCTAGTTATTTCCAAGCACAATAAAACTAACCTTCGTTACTTTCCTTGTACAGATCCTGCAAGGAAAATGCTCTGTTCGTGCTCATGCTTTTGGATACAGGTTTCGAGTCGTCCTCACTGTTCTGTCGGCATCCTTTTCTCCTAAGGAGGAGGATTACCAATGTGATGATTGAAAGTGCTGTCAGAGCAGATAGTATGCCGACGATTATTATCCATTTGTGTCCCCTTCCTGATCCTGAATGGAAACACAAGACAAAGATATATTTAAGAATAATTACACAAGATTTTACTCAATTTCAATCAAGTTCTGCATTTCATGCAAACATACATACATGTATGCACTTAATTTTCTTTTCCCCGAAAAGACAAATATTGCTGTGAAACTTAGCGCATGATTACTCTCTCAAGATAGAAGAAACGGGGACGTTGGAAACATAAATGATATATCTCCATTTATCTTCTATATCGATTAAATATTGAAAATTTGGGAAAGAACTCGTATTCACCTTTTCCAGAGGCCGGTTTACTGTCCATGGGAACAAACAGCACCCAGTCCACAATTATGGAACTTGGGTTCTTAATCAGATTTATGTTCATGCTCTGTATGCCACCTACTGTAGATGATAGCCTGGTTGAAATTTCTGATAATGTGTCATGCTGCTGAACAGTATATGTTACCACAATTTGGGATTTGCTTTTTGTACACCCACACAACAGATGCATGGAGAAATTATATCCTGTATTAAACAAATGCGCTTCATCTTCAACCCACCAAGCTTGCCCATTAAAAATCTGAGCTGAAACGTTAGAAAAAATTTCTCCTTGACTTGCGTTGTGGATTGCATCATAGAAGTATCCAGCAGTGCCATTGATATTTTTGCACGAGCAAGGTACCGTTACAAGATAGTCTTGTCGGCTTGCATAGGAAATAGAAATGATCTGGGCTGGGCTGACACCATAAATGGAAGCAAGCTGTTCTTTCTGTAAGCTGTCGTAGTTGGTATGGTACAGTGAGGCATTACAAATTTTGATGTCTTCAGAATCAGAGCAAGTAAATGGGTACATATTTGGTGAATTGGTGGAGTCATCAGAGGCAAAAACTATAGCTACTAGGGTTGTCATTAAAGTGATCAGGAGACCAAGAAGGAAATTGTGGAAAGTCATGGTTGTAGAGCATAGGAATTTTTTTCCCCTGAGAGAGGAAGAAAATGAGATGAAGTGATGGAGCTAGAAACTATAGTTTCTTCTCTCCTCATCAGAACACAACAGTTAATTGTTACGGATTGACATTTTTCATGTGACCCACCCCCTTTGTTTTTAGGCTCTTGCAAGGAGAGTTGTAGTTCTCCATGTTGAATATGATATGGTTTTTGTAATTTCCAAAGTATTTCCCCCATCCATTATAAGATGATATAATTAATTATGTCGATGCTTACAATTTAGTGACTGAGACAATTTTGTCTGTTGATTTACCAATAAACACACTTCCTCAGAGGGTTGAAGTGTGGTTGTTTAACTTAATTTGGGAAAGTTGAATTTAACAAAATATTAACCGGATAAAACTTAATTGATTCAATCATGTTTTTTGATTGTTTTTAATGATATGATTTACTTAACCAACTCCGATAGCATAAATAACAAGCAATTTGAAAAACTTAAAGGAAGAACAAAATGGTATTATTTTAACAAAAATAATTGACTCGGGTTGATCAATGATTCAGTAAGTCATGGATTAACTTGGTGACTCAACAACCCAAACCTTTTTTTCAGATTAATCGATCCCTTGCCGTATCCGACAACCATGCAGAGAAGAATCCATGCCTTGCTGTTTCAATTAACGGCAGTAATAGAGAATATTTCACCACCTACAATGAATGACGCATGCATAGAAGGAAACTACCAGCTACACACTTTGCTTGGTTGTGTAGTACAATAATATGTCTGCTGGGCTCTTCGCAAGCATAATTTTGGCTGATGTACTGGTACTAACAACAGCTGTATGAAAAGGAGTAAGGATAATCATATATATATCAGGGCATAGAATAAGCCATGCCCCTTTCGCATTAGCTGTGGAAATGGGACTGGAAGGATGTTGATTTTCCCGTCTGCGCAGAGCTTTTTGCGACTGTCGCTTTGGCTCGGAACAGATTTTGTAATCTTGTGCAAGGAAGTGTTCCTTGTGGTTTTGTTCCTATTGTAAATTTTAAGGGATTGTTTATCCTTTTTATCTTTGCATTAGCTATTTTCTTTTCCAAGGATACAAGCATTGAGAATTGCAGGCATAACGGTTAACACAATGCGCTCATAAATTTACTTGACCTTATGAGAATAATCAAGATTTGGATGTGTTGCTTCTGCTTCCCTTTGTTTAAGATTTAAAAAGCTCTTGCTAGCGACTTGGATGTGTTGCTTCTGCTTCCCTTTGTTTCTTTCATCCCTTAGTCAACCTGACAGCAACAGCCCCGTTTCTTCTTTTCCTGGGAAGTAGGAAAGAAAACAGTATAAGAGCTGAAGAAGAACGCAGTAGTTTAGTTCTTGCAGTCATTTGCAGAGGCCCTTGAACGCAAGGGCTCGAAAAGATTGTTGGTGTCGAAATTTGCATTCCAATACCAGTCATTGTCTCTTCGTTTAACGGACATGCGACTAATGATTGTTGGTGTCGAAATTTGCTTTCCAATGCCATGACATTGTCGATTCTTGACATGTCTCTTCGTTTAACGGACATGCGACTAGTTTTTTTCTTCGGCTACAAAGGAGAGGCCGCCGAAGATTACCTGAATAAGGATACAGCAAATACAAAAATCATTCTCATACAGAGAAACTAGAAATCAGACGAGCAGTTACTTCTGGTTGGAGGCCGTCAGCTATCACGGTTGATCTGTACTTTTTTACAATATATTGCAACTTTCTTTGAGCTTTCTCTGAAGAGCTCTTTTAAGAGCTTCTAAAAAGCTTTCTTATAAGCTCCAACATGCCATTTTCATGCTGCCTTATGCTTCCAAAGAGCTCTTTCTTATAATAATTTCTTTTTTAAAAAAAAAATCTTTCATCAATAAATGGTTTTTAAGAATAAATCTTAGCCCAAACAAAAAACAAATAGTATATAAAACTTCAGAATTATTCAAGTTATTTTAATTCAATGGTCGTAGTTATTATATGGGTAAAGTTAACCCAGATTAATTGGTTTTATTAAAACAATATTATTTTATTTTCTTAATATTAACATGATCAACTTTAAATTAGATTAGGTGAGGTCACCTAAGCTGATCAAAATTCATTAAATTAGATTTTATCCAATTCGTTATAAATTAGGCTCCACATCTTAAATCTCTCAAATTAACTTACCACTCGTGACAGAGTTTAGTAGCTGTGCTAGGATCACTCAGGCATTGAGCTGAAAGTGACTCCTACTGACTCCAGCAAAGTAAAACCAAGAGAGATGACCACGAGAAGAGTCTCTACCAAGAACTCAGTGTTTAAAGCTAGACGACGCTTGTTGAATACTGATAGCTTTATTTCTTTGGGTTATATAAACAAAACAAAAGTCCAGAACAAGTCCAAATTTCAGTGGCTCTCGTGCTGCCAATATTGAGTGCATGTGCTGACTGCTGCCACATAATAACAAATATATGTATATCCTCACAACCAATTTGTTTTGCTGACACAAAAAAAAAAAAAAAAGAAACTATGCTCTTGTGCAGTTTAGTTCCTGTTTTCATTCGTCCAAGCAGCAGATAATACACATGAATCTTCCTTTTCAAAACAGTGTTATAGTTGTTGTGTATAGTCTTGTAATATATAAGAAGGGTGGGACCACCATATTAATTAATAAAAATTATCATTTTAAATTAAATTTAGCTGTCACTATATATATGGCAGTAGTGTTTTTGAACAAAAAAAAAAAGAAAAAAAAATTTACTCTTGTGCATGCATCAGAGTTTAGTTCTTGTCTTTGCCCATCTAAGCAGAAAATACAAGTGAATCTCTCTTTCCAAAAATGTAGTCTCGCATCATGTGATGTTGGTACCATCATATTAACTAGTAAAAGTTATCACTTTAAATTAAATGTAGATGCCACTCTAGATAGCAGTAGTGTTTTTGAACAAAAGAGAAAAGAAAAGGGGAGAAAGGAAGAAGAGACAGCAAAGCAGTTTGTCTTTTTTCTGTGATTTCTAACTCGTTCACCGTTGGATCGGGCTGATATTTGGACAACAACTTTTAGACACATTACTCTTCATTATGAACGGTTGGATCAAAAATTAGTAGTGTGGAAGCTAGTAGTGTTAATAGAAAACGGGGTTGTTAGTATTGTGAGTTTTTCTTAAATACTTCATTTTTAGTCATCTTGTATTCCAAGAATAAGTTGTTCTTGATGATATATATGTTGTAACCCTTAGTTGAATTTAAGGAAGAATAATTGTGAACTTATTATTAGTTGATAGTGAAATTTTTAGGTGGACTACGATCTAGTGGTTTTTCCAGCATCAGGTTTTCCATGTAAAGAATCTTGATGTTGATTTGTGTGATTGTTGCTTTATATTTGTTGATTGTTTAATCCTGATTTTGATTGCACAAAGAAAAAAAAGAATTGAAACTTGTGAATTGTAAATTGTGAATTGATCTAGATATATTGATATCCAGTTTTTCGTTTCTAGGTGATTGTTGCTTTATATTTGTTGATTGTTTAATCCTGATTTTGATTGCACAAAGAAAAAAAAGAATTGAAACTTGTGAATTGATCTAGGTATATTGATATCCAGTTTTTCGTTTCTAGTTTTCCCTACAATAGCCAGGTAGCTTCACCAACCATTTGATGTTTCTATTTTTTTTATATCTTTTTAAGGGATTTCTTCTGAATGTAATTTGATATATTCTTTCTTGCTCTATCTTGGGTTTGAGGGTTTTCTTTTCTTTTCTTTTTCCCTTTTTAAAGTTGTGCTAGTATGTTCTTTGTCTACTTCTAAAATATTTAATGGTTTTTGTTGAATTCTTTAGCTCATTTGTTATATAATTATTCGATGGTTGCTGTGAATTCTTGTAGCTGTAAATGTTGTTATTAGATTTAAAATTCTAACAAGTGGTTAATTTTTCTTAAGATCACAAAGCAAGGTGACCAATTTTATTGCTTCATCCAATATTTAGTTTTCATTCTAATGTTTTCTAAAGAAAATTGATGGTTAGGAGCTGAGTTTGCTGTGTTGCTTGATTTTTCAGATCGAGTGAGAAGATAGATTAATTGTCATGGCACCTAAATCATTAGACTATGAATCGTTGAATGAAAATGTCAAGAAGGTTCAGTATACTATTAGAGGTGAGCTATATCTTTGAGCTTCTAAGCTCCAAAAGGTAGCGAAGAGGGTGTGTTTATATATATGTGTGTCTATATTATATATAGTCTGCTCAAGTTTTCTTTAAAAATGTTGTTGTTCATAATTTTTTTTATGATGTTAAGGTGTCATTTGGTATTATGGCTACAGGTGAGGTTTACCTGCAGCCACAACTATTATTGTTTGGTAATACAGCAAAAGCATTTTTTTATTGGCGAGACCCACTACCAACTGTGGCACAGCCACAGGTTTACAAGAAACATCTCCTTGCTACTTCTTGTGCTGAGTAAACTTATGAACAGTGGAGTATGGCTCCACTGTTCATGGGCTTTCTTCCATGAACAGTGGAGCATACTCCTCTGTTCTTGTCGGACTGGTCCGGTTCAAAGCTATACATTGAACTAGGTACGATCCAACAAAATAAAAAAGTATTTTTAATTGTGTTTTATTTGAAAAATTAATGTTAAATATTATTCAATGACATTATATAAATTAAACAGAGATCACTAGATGATGTAGCATTTGCAGAATTTGATCGCAATGCCAATTTTGTTCCTGATTATATTTTACCAGACGTTGTTGCACTCTTAAGAAATTTATAAAAGCTATAGTCCTTGTCGGATGTATTTCGTACTTGATGGAATTTAGATAGTTTAATGAAACAATAAAAAATATTTTATATAAAGTATTATTTATTTCATGATGTAATAGAAAGAGTTAAATCTATAATATTTAAATTAAAAACTATTAATATTAATATATATTTTTTAAAATTATTTTATAACCTCAATTTCAAAAGCATTTTTAGAAACTATTTGTTTGTGTGGTTGCTTTTGCATTTGAAGAAACCTAAGCAAAATAAATATTTGGTTATATCAAAAAGACAATTTATTTTTAGCGGGTACCATTATAATTCACAATTGAAACACAATTTTGCTGAAGTAGCTTCAAGTTGCTTTTCCTCAAACAGTGTTTTAGTGAACAGTACAATTCACTCGCACTGTTCACTTATGAATAGTGCAATTTACTTACACGGTTCGCGTGAATTTTTTTTTGTGTATTAATTTTTTTAATAGTTTAAAGTGAATTAAATTCACTCACACTAGGATGTGAATAATTTTTTTTTGAAAAATTAATGTAGAGTAAATTAAATTTATTCGCATTGTAATATCAATTTTATACCTTAGAATATTTTATCTAATTTTATTACACGCTAATTATTATATATTTAAAAAACTAAAAAAATTACAGTTCTTATTAAAAATATTTTTATATAATAAAATTATAAATAATTTAATGAAATAATAAAAAATATTTTGTATAAAATATTATTTATTTTATAATATAATAATTATAATTAATTCTATAATATTTAAATTTAAAACACATGGGCGGCATATATATATATATATATATATATATATATATATAGGTTTTCTTTGTCTTGGTACGATTATAGTATCATTCACAAGATAATGCTCGTTAATACAAAAACTGCATATTTGTCAGATTTTGGTTCCAGTGCCACAATACCCACTTTACTCTGCCGCAATTTGTCTATTTGGGGGTTCCCTTGTTCCATGTTTTCTAGAAGAGATAGCAAACTGGGGTCTTGATGTAAATGACCTGAGACAGTCAGTTGCACAAGCTTGCTCTAAAGGAATAACTGTTAGCATGCTTTGACTCTTCCTATTATATATGAAATTGCTTGCTATCTATTTGGAAGTTGGAACCTAAGAAGTTAACTGAAAACTGTAAAAACAGAATGGATCAGGGTACTGGTTTAACTGTCCGGGTTTAGCCAGTTATTTGAACAATCACCCTCTGAGATTATATATATACCTGTGAAGATTGTTTTATTGTCCTCTTCCATTTGAAAACTAAACGTGCTTTAATTACCTGCTGATCCAACTTATCTTGGAGCACTCATCACTGCAAAATAAATCTAACATGATTGATATTTGATCAGGTAAGAGCAATGGTGATTATTAACCCAGGCAACCCCACTGGTCAGTGTCTTAGTGCAGCTAATTTAAGGGAAACTTTGCACTTCTGTTACCAAGAAAACTTGGTTCTTCTTGGAGATGAAGTTTATCAGCAGAACACTTATCAGGATGAGCGTCCTTTTATCAGTGCTAGAAAGGTACCTATTGGTTTGCCTCGAAATTCAAGTGTTTGTTACCTGGAGTTACAACTTGTATTAGTCATATTTTTGTTGCGACTTTGGAAGGTTTTGATGGGCATGGGGCCACCCGTAAGCAAGGAAGTTCAGCTCATTTCTTTCCACACCGTGTCCAAAGGATATTGGGGTGAATGTGGGCAGCGGGGTGGATACTTTGAGATGACCAACATCCCTCCAGAGGTTTTCTTTTTATCAAATTGATTTCTCCTTTTCATAATAATTGTATTTGTGACCTGCAATATTGAAATTAAACATAAGAAGGATCTTTAAATTCCGGCAATATTTGAACTACAAACATCCAAAAGTCTTTTTTTATTATTATTATGATTTATGCTGGAGACTGTTGTTGAGATTTATAAGGTTGCATCACTATCAATCAGTCCAAATGTCCCTGCTCAGATATTCGTATGTAGACTTGCACACTCTGTAGTGGTATTTTTATCAATTTAACTGGGAAATCCAGTTCTTGTTTCTCGTTATTATTCCAATTAAAAAGTCTACCTCTTTACAGATGGGGCTGATGGTCAACCCGCCTAAACCTGGAGACGTTTCATACGAGCAGTTCATTAGGGAAAGGTATGCCTGCTATGATTTAGTTCCTTAGGAGTCAATTCAGTATTCATGATAATCTTGTGAAATGGAACCAAGGACATTCCGCTTTGATCTAGTACCATGCTAAACTGTCAATCTGATTACCAAACTAGTTAATGGATGTTGATGTCCACTGTCAAAGTTGAAAAATTGTCTGCTTTGAGCAGGTAATAACAGTGTTTTATGATCAAAACAAACCAGCAAAGGGATCCTGGAATCTTTAAGGAGAAGAGCTAGGATGATGACTGATGGATTCAACAGCTGCAAAAATGTGATATGCAATTTCACAGAAGGTAAATTGTTGTTTCTTAGCTATTTTTAACATCTTTCATTTCGTGATCGCTTTCCCAATCTATATGTGATCATTGTATGACATCGTAGAATGTGGTTTTAGGTGCCATGTATTCATTTCCTCAAATCGCCACCTAAAGCAATAGACGCTGCCAAAAGGGCTGGAAAAGTTCCTGATGTTTTCTACTGTCTCAAGCTTTTGGAGGCCACTGGCATTTCCACAGTCCCCCAGATTGCTTGAAACACACAAGCATGCATGAAAACAGACAAAGAAAACAAAACAAAAGAGAATTCTGCCGATTCTAGTCTTGGTTATGTTCCTCTTCCCCCAGATTGATTTCCTAACACATACTGAATCTTTTTAATTTCACGTTCAATATGAATCATGTATTTATGAAGATGACATGTAAGCATCTGACAGGGGTATGGGGAATTCTTTTTCCTCTTCTCAGCTTCTCACTTTTTGTTTCTGAAGGGGTTTTTCATTTCCACCCATAGGCCTTCCTTTTGCGGGTGTGCAAAACCAAGTGTCTAGATGGGTCTGTTTCTGAACTGTCATCAAATGCTAGGGTCTGATTGTTATTCGTTCTTGTAGGGTATTCCATTTAAGGACAACCATTTTACCGGCAGAGGAAGACATGCCGGAAATCATGGACAGTTTCAAGAAGTTCAACGATGAGTTCATGGAGCGATATGAAGGCCACGGTGGTTATTCAAGGTTGTAAGAAATTCTTCAAATTCTGCAAATTGTATCGTATTATTGGGCAGTTCAAGCCGTTTGGTAAATGCTTCCTTGAATTGCCTGAATTTGGCCATGTAAGCTAAAGTCGGTTGACGATTATTTCTGCTGCTAATGATGACTCAGACATTAATCGTCTGTATGGATACCTGCTCAATCCAACGTCTAATGTTGTCATTCTTAAAGGTTTCACTCAGTTTCTCTGATCTGATGAGCTAGCGACTAAATGGATGCCTACCTCTGCCTCTTCGCATCAGTATCTTTGTCCCAGGCTGAAAGAAAAGTTGCCGATGGACCTAAGCAACCTTAGTTGCCCTGGAATTTAAGCCTTTCGTGATTCTTGTCCCTTTTCTGATTAACATAAATTCAGTCCTCGCTTTTTCTGTGCTCCTCGTAAATAAGGCCTACGACCTCCTCTAAGGGCTTGCCTTAGCCTGTCAATATGAGCTGCCTTCTTTAAATTCGATGAAACCTACTATCTAGCTCTGCCGCCCATTTAAACCGCACTCCCTTCGTAAATAAGCAAATTTTTCATTTTTTCATATATATATATATATATTTTTTTTGAAAGGAAGCCAGCCAATTATGCCTCCCCCCACCCTCCCAAGTGGCAGCCAGCCTAGAAACGGTTTTGAAGATCGGAGGTGATGGTGTTTGAACACACTATAAGGAAGCCCTTCGACTTTTAAACAGGCATTTAGTTATGTTTTAGGATATGGTTTTAATTAAATTCATTAACATCTGAGAAGAAAAAAACAATCACTGAAAATAATCAAACATATTGATTGAAAGAGAGCTTTAGTCCATCTTTATAGACTACAAAATATGCAAGAACAACTTCTTCTTCTTCTTCTTCTCTGATAAATGAAAGCTTTACTGATCAAAAGGAACTGGGAGGGCAGACCCAATACAGAGTTCAAGACATACGAGGTATAAAAAGGGAATACTAGAATAAATAATTCAGATATATGGGATTTGAAGTGGCACCAGATGTTCGAATGATGCATGCTCAAAATATAAATATTCGCTGCATGTTATAAGACGAACAGTACGCACGAAGAGATAACTTGAGAGAGGGAGGGAGAGAGTTTACAACAGGCATTTGATGGTTTTCATAGAGTTTGGTCCATTCAGTATGAAATATTATAGAAAAATATAATTAGTTTATTGCTTATAAAATAACGATTAAAATATCATTTGACGATTATTACATCAAAAGTAAGTCTTTATAACACTAGTTCTCAAGATGTAACACATGGTCCAATGATATTCTTAGATCTCTCGATACATATGAAAGATAAATTGATGTAATAGATGGTCCGATGATATTTTTTTCATGGTCTCTCGGTGCAAGATTTGAAAGATACATTTTGAGAACATGTTAGATAATAAAAGTTTATAATTAATACAAGTCTTGGGATCGAGTTATAAGAATTTTATAATACACAAAAAAGTAATTGATGGTATTCTATTACTTATTATTTTATATATTTTTTAAAAATAAATTATAAATAAGAATATTTTTATCATTATAATGTTGCGACGAATTACTTTGTGTCTTTTATTCAATAAAAATTGTAAGATATAATGCAAGTCATTAAGTTTTTATAAATTTCTTGATGCTACGCATACAAATAAGCGCAGCGGTGGTAGGTGCCTTGCGCCTTCTACTGCCCAGGGTTCGAGTCTTGGAGTTGTATGCCTGTCAGCCCCGCGCTGCATTACCTGCCTGCTGGGTTTGCAGGGTGTTCAGTGGACCGTGGTGATTAGTCGTGGTGCGCGTAAGCTGGCCCAGACACCCCACGTAAATCAAAAAAAAAAATTCCTTAAAATTCATTTTCTTTTAGCATTTTACCAGCTTAATAGCACCAAGCCATCTCCCTAGGATAGAGATGTTCCATATATTTTTTCCAAAAAAAACAATTAAGAGTCATTATCCATGGTAAATTTTGCTGAGCTAGTCACATAATTGCCAGCAATGGTTGTACAAGACTGACATCGCAATCTACTTTGCAAACCTGTCCCATCTTGCACCAGCTTTTTTTTCTTACACCATTGACACATAGCTGCATCACAATGAAGGAAAAAAAAACATTTTAGGGCGAGCATCGGTTTAAGAGTTGGTTTGGAAGTCAAATTAATTTATTTTTTAATATTTTGAATTAAGTCAGTTGTAAGGATTAAACCATTTGTGTGGTGCATTTCTTTCATTTTATAAAATATAGAATTAAATCAAACTCAATTTAATTTTTTTATTTATTAATCAAAATATGTAAAAACAAAATTCAAAAAAACAATTTCAAACTTTTGAACCGTAAAAACCAGGGGGGGCGTCCTATTCTTAAATTTTGTTCACAAGACAATGGGTGCCATAAAGGGGCGAAGAACAGGCACAGGTGAGTTGATGATCCCTATGTCTTTGGCGCCAAAATCCAAAGTCAATCGACCCTGCCATGCCCAGCTTGTTTCACGGGCACTTCACTCTCTTTCTAGCTACAAGTCTTCATTTTATTATTTTGGTTTTATAAATAATCAAATCTTAAATAGGATCTGCTTATGTCACGAGGTTCCTTCCTCGGGTTCTCTTTCTCTCACTCTCCATCAAAAATCTGATCGCTATAAACAATAACATTCAGCAATTATTTATTTTTTCTCATCATATTCATGTACCTACCGCCTCCTCCTCCTCCTCCTCCGCCCCCTTTAAAGCTTTTTGATTCCTTAAGAACACTCCTTACTTTTCTTTCTTTCTCTCTCTCTCTCTCTCTTTCTTTCATGGACCTTCATATCCTCCCTTGCTTATTCTCACCTTCCCTATAGCTTCACGAAGACTACTCCTCCTCAGGACTTTAACCAAAATCTCCTTTCATTTTCCCTTTACAACTCTTCTTTCTCGAGTCCACTTTCCTTCAGGTTTCGTTTGATTCTCTACCAATCCCTACTCTCATCTTCATTTATTCCCTCTCTGTGCCGGCAATAGCTTTATTCCTTATTCCTTAATAGTTAGCTAGTTCCCTCCCTCTCACCGATCGAGCTACTCCTATAGTATTGGTTTGCTCTAGTTAAAGTACGGGATCCGAATGGGGTTCTCGGAGAAGCCTCAAGTTGTGGATGGTGGCTTGGATTTAGATGGAAATAAGAGATGGGTTATTGCTGGAATTCCTTTAAGAGCTCCTTTGAAACCCATATTTACAAATCCAGTTGAGAAAGAGATCTACGACGAAAGCGATGATGGTCAGAACAACTGCACTCCTTCAACAACGCCAACGAGTGAAGAAGCCAAAATCCCTTCTAAATTGGTGTGCCCTCCAGCTCCCAGGAAGCGAAAAGCTACTTTCAAGTGTAATTACACTAGTGGTATGAGGGAGTTCTTTACTCCTCCTGACTTGGAAACCCTTTTTATACAAAGGGCAAACTGATCACTGATTGATTTCTTAATTCGCCTCCTTTAACGACTACTTACTTTAGATTTCCTTGCACATTCGATCGAGTTAGGCAGGCAACCTTTGCAGGAGGATCTCATTGCTTGTACAGGTCATATAATTAGTAATAAAATAAAAGAAAATCTGGAATGATTACTCGCCTTCACTGATATGTTTTTGTCTTTGTTACTCGTCACAAAAAAGCTCCCTACCAAGCTTTTAGCTAGTTGTATAACACTACTACTTGTATGTTTTTAACAAATTAAGTTGTTTTTTTTCTTTTCTATTTTGCTTCCATGTTTTAAATTAAGGTCAAATGAGCGTATATTCTTGTTCTTGTACTGCAAATGTTAATTAAAGAGAGTAATTAAATTAATTAGGTTTCCTATCCCTTGTTAAATGGTTTTGTTTTACAACCATGTTGCAAGACAATTAAACAATTCGCAATGATTCATAGTCTGAGTTTCCTGATCTGATCTCTTGGTCTTGATCAGTTTTCAAGTTAATCAAAACATGGCAGTGGTTTGATCAGTTTGTTCTCATCTTCTGGTAGAGGTGCATATCTTTCTGTCGCTCTTTATGGGACTGTTCATGCTCATGCGGGGCAGAAGAGACATGCGAGTCAACATCTAAGCAATTAAGTAGCCAAAAGTTGTCAAATGCTGGTAGGGGTAAATCTTTTTCAAAGATAAGAAGATGCTGCACGGATCATGATGCGTGACGGCCTGATTGACTGAGACAAGTCCCCTCGGACCCTATAGCCAATGAGACCCGCTCTTGATCAAAACCTTTTTATGGACTCTTGATTTGCTGTGTATCATCCTTGTTTAACGTTAAAAGTGTGTTTAGTCTTTATGTGACCCACCCCACCCACCTCGGACTCTGACGATAGTGGGACTGGCCGGGAAAGTTCTCTCTGTAGTGCTTTCTCTCGGAAGAACCACTAAAAAGGACAGATAATATTTGACTTGCTTGGTTAGAATCCTATGTGAGTTGAATGGACTTCGTTTAAAATTCTCAAGCTCAAGTTTGGCATGCCATACCAATAATTGACAAAGCTATTCGCGAGCGCGCGCACATGTATGAATAATATAATCTCATCTAACCCTAGTAATCAAAGACTCCCGGTTGTTTATTTGGCAGCTAGAGAATAATAATGTAGCTATGAAAGCACATGTTACAACAGCGACAACATAGATAGCTAGCCAGGGGAAGTTCACCGAATCTTGGCTTCATTTTACTTACATTACAAGAAAGCTTCTCGGGATCGGAGCTGTTGGTGGAGCAATCGATTTACACCGCGCCTGCGGAAATGCTGCGAGTTATCTTTACTTGGCAGCTAGCTAGCTGTAAACTGTGTTAATGGTGGTTTAAAATTTTAAATCACTCATTCTGGGTAAACTTTCTTCTTTATCCTTGTAGATCAATCAATATTGAGTTTGAAATTTCCCAATGAAATCTTCAATTTCCTACAAAGTTTCATTGCTACCCTTAACTACTATTTAGATTGTATTTATTTTTACATTTCAAAAATAATTTTAAAAAAATTTGAATTTCATTTTAT